TTTTTATTGGAGTTCAATTTGCCAACATATAGTATAATACCCAGTGCTCATCCTGTCAAGTGTTCCCCTCGGTGCCCATCACCCAGTCACCTGGATTTCTTGTTTTTAAAAGCACCTGAGGAGATTGAGTTTAGGCAGAGTTAAAAAGCCAGTGTTTTTTTAATATGTCAAATACTTATTTAGCTGATCATCTGAATCTCCTGGGGAACTTTTTTAAAATTATTTTTTTGGGGGGGGGGGCGCCTGGGTGGCTCAGCAGTTGAGCATTTCCTTTGGCTCAGGTTGTGATCCCGGGATCCTGAGATTGAGTCCCTGTGTCGGGCTCCCTGCATGGAGCCTGTTTCTCCCTCTGCCTATCTCTCTCTCTCTCTCTCTCTCTCTCTCTCTCTCTCTCTCTTCTCTCTCTCTCTCTCTATGTCTCTCATGAATAAATAAACAAAATCTTTTAAAAATATTTTTTTTATTTTTATTATTTTTTTAGTGGAAGAAAACACATTTGTGTATTTATTAGTTTCTTCTAACTTCTTCTAGTTAGAAGAAGTAGACCCATTCCTACCTAGCAATACCTTGTCCATCTCTGGTCTAATTTCTCTTTCCTCAGACCTCCAACAGCCTCTCTTTCCTTCTTTCTTATTTTTTTTTAAGATTTATTTATTTCTGAGAGCAGTGGGGAGGGCTGAGGGAGAGGGAGACAATCTCAAGCAGACTCTCCACTAAGCACCCCTGAGACCATGACCTGAGCTAAAATCAAGTGTTTGACACTCAACCGACTGAGCCACTCAGCTGCCGTCCTTCTCACTTTCAATACAGTTCATAGAAGAGAAACAACGCACCTTTCTAGCACCAGATCTAGCAGCCTAAGCACATTTGTATCCAGATGCTCTGTCTTCCCACAGTGGATGGGGATGTGCTGTCCTTGTCCTCCCGAGGGCAGGTCCTGCTTATACACAAGAGCCAGCATCTCCTAGGTAACTTTTAAAACACACATGGAGGGACGCCTAGGTGGCTCAGCGGTAGAGCGTCTGCCTTCAGCTCAGGGCGTGATCCTGGGGTCCTGGGATCGAGTCCCGCATCAGGCTCCCTGTGGGGCCTGCTTCTCCCTCTGCTTGTGTCTCTGCCTCTCTGTGTGTGTGTCTCATGAATAAATAAATAAAATCTTTTTTAAAAATTAAAAAAATAAAAATAAAACACATGTGATTGCCCTGCTTAATAAATTAGAAGGAATTTTGAGGTTCAAAGAGGAGGAGAGGGATCCCTGGGTGGCGCAGCAGTTTGGCGCCTGCCTTTGGCCCAGGGCACGATCCTGGAGACCCGGGATCGAGTCCCACGTCAGGCTCCCGGTGCATGGAGCCTGCTTCTCCCTCTGCCTGTGTCTCTGCGCCTCTCTCTCTCTCTCTCTCTCTCTCTCTCTCTCTCTCTCTCTCTGACTATCATAAATTTAAAAAAAAAAAGAGGAGGAGAAATGAGGTATTGGCAAATGACCTTCAGAATAATGGATGTAAATGAGGAATCCTGTCAAGAATAGCCAAAGGACTTTTGAGAATAAGGATAAGAATGTCTAATACTTCAGAAATATTATATTTTCAGGACACCTGGTGGCTCAGTAGGTTAAGCATCTGACTTTGGCTCAGGTCATGGTGTCAGAGTCCTGGGATCAAGCCCCATGTTCAGCTTCATGCTCTGTAGGGAGTCTGCTTCTCTCTCTCTCTCCTCTGCTCCTCCCCTGATCCTGCTCTCTCTCTCAAATAAATAAAATAAGAAATATTGGGGATCCCTGGGTGGCTCAGCAGTTTGGCGCCTGCCTTTGGCCCAGGGCGTGATCCTGGAGTCCTGGGATCGAGTCCCAAGTCAGGCTCCCGAGCATGGAGCCTGCTTCTCCCTCCTCCTGTGTCTCTGCCTCTCTCTCTCTCTCTCTCTCTCTCTCTCTCTCTCTCTCTCTCTCTCATAAATAAATAAATCTTAAAAAATAAAATAAATAAATAAATATTTTATTTCCTCTACTATGTTTCAGTGCAAACCTATTCTGCTGCTCTGAAATCTTTGGAGAAGTCTGTCACACATGGGTATATACAGCAATGCATGCCTGTTCCCACGCAGAGTGAATATCCACTGTCCAGGTTCTAACCCTGGAAATCCTATTTCAGGAGGTTCAAAGTGAAGCCCTGGCATCAGTACTTTAAATCTTCCCCAGACCACTGTGGCAAGGGGCCAGGTTTGGTTCCACTGAGTATAGATTTTACAACATCCTTAGACAATGTTTCTCACAACCCATCCCATTGACATCTGGGTGAATTTATGTTGAGGAACAGTAAAATCAATGGTAAAACAGGGTCTTTGCAACAGGGGGAAAAAAAGTCTGACTCTAATTTTTAGACCTCCCTCAGATCGACCTTGTCTTTTTCTCTTGGAGTGGCTTTATGAAGGAAGCTATATCTCAAATGGAACAGAAGATGACCATGGAGGTGTATAGAAAAATTAATAATAATACATTTTAAAGCAGGTTTAATCTTCTATAACAGAGAGGAAGCATGACCTACATAATCAACAGTCATGAGCACCAATCCAAAGATACCGTGCATTCGTCAAATACTCAGCACCTGCTAAGAGACTGGGACTGAGCTAGGCCCTTGGAACTCAGGGAATGATATGGCCTCAGGCATTACAATCTAGAGAGACCGTTAATTATAATCAGTGGAAGAAAACTGGAAAATTATATTAATAAGTATAGACCCAGTCCACAGGGGATTAGTGGTAAGGGAAGACTAAAGAGAAACAAGACAAAACCAGGCTTTTGAAAGATACAATGATTAGGGTGTAGGGACAATGGAAGGAGAGTGAGGGGGGAAATCGCATTTCTTTTCAGAGTGGATGGAACTGTATGTGTGGGCACAGTGGCGTAAACCAGCATGGTATATGTTGCCTGAATTACAGATGGCTCTACAATGCTTTTTCATCTAAGGTTCTGGAGGAGTTGGGGCAGGTGGAAAGCAGAGTGGTTGCGTTGCCCCGTGTCAGACTCCACTCACATACATCAGCACTGTTGTTCTTTGGCTATTATGATGCATTCCTAGAGTGGCCATAAAAAGTTAGCTGAGAGATGGCCAACCAGCCTTGCTAGCCTAAAACAAAAGACACATGATATTTGTCAGATCTGCTGCAAAATCCTCGTTCTCCATCCTTATTCGGTACTTGCCTGCATTCGCTGTTAGACTTCCTTTTTATTCTAGACTCTGGAATTTTTAACCTCCTTGGACATAGGCATTTTTCTGTGTGTGATGTTTTGTGGTTGATCACACAAACCTGAGTTCAGTGTGAATGTAATTTCAGGTTGGTGAAAAGTTGACTTTTCATCAGGCAGGAATGGTGTTAAGCCACATCAGTAATCCCCCACACTCCTATGGTCACCGCATAGACACTAACCATTAACTCATGCTAACCCTATCACCTCTGCTGTCAACTTCCTTCATTTGGGAACACTGGCTTTAGTTGTTGTGCATTCAATTTTTATTATAAGGTTTATAGTTCAAATATACAGACAAATACTAAGAATCATGTGACACCCATTTACTGACTGCAAGGCTTAATCAAATCTGAACATTTTGCTCTGTTTGCACCAATTGTTTTTATAAACTAAAGCATTGTAGATACAGTAAGTTAAAACTCTGTCTCCCCTGAGTCTGATTCCCCTTCTCTCTGAAGGAACCACCACCCTGATCCTAGTGTTTCTCATTATCATTCATGGTTTTATACATTTATTACATATATGTGTCCATAAACAACATATAATATTGCTTTATACATTTTTAAACTTTGTTTAGATTACTGCATCCTTGAAGTATCTATCTGTGCCTTGCATTTTTATTGAAAATTAAGTTTTTGAGATTTATTGATGACACAAATAGATTTAGTTCAGTTTTTAGAACTACTTTATAGCATGCAACATATCACTATACCAAGATTTATTTTTTATTTTGTACAGGTAGGACATTTGAGGGTTTTTCCCCCCAATTTTTCAATATAATAAAGCTGTAGTTAACATCCTTGCACACATTTTCATTTGCACAAATATATTGGGGTTTTATTCCTTAATCATTTATTTTACTCATATTAATAGCATTCATTTTATAGCATATATATATATGCACTGTATGCTAAATATATATAACACATGTATATTTATGTATAAATCATCCTAATTGTCTCAAACATGACAATATCATCACCTTTAAAACAATATCATAATATTGCACTGATATTTTCAACTTGTAACTTCTCACTAGTCACCAGGAATTTCCCTCATGGAGATGTATAAACCTCAATTCTGAACCATGGGAAAATTTAAGGAGTAATCAAATGTGAGTACAGAATTGAAGAGGAGGGTGATATACCTTCAAGACACTTGGGATCAGGAATGCCTGGGTGGCTCAGTGGTTGAGCATCTGCCTTAGGCCCAGGGTGTGATCCTGGCGTCCTGGGATCAAGTCCCACATTGGGCTCCCTGCATGGAGCCTGCTTCTCCCTATGCCTATGTCTCTGACTCTCTCTCTGGGTTTCTCATGAATAAATAAATAAAATGTCTAAAAAAAAAAAAGAAAGAAACTTGGGATCAATTTAAGGACTGATCTTGCCCCTTATCCTGTTTCCTTGACATGTAAGTGGTCAGAGTCAGCCTGAGTCACTATTTCTCCCATAGGAACCTAGAACCAGCTGACTGCAGTATTTAGTCACTGAATTTAATACAAGCTCTTATTGAAAGTATGCACATTACCATGTATTGCCCTGGGAGGAAATACGTCACGTGTGGGATTTTTTCTTAATTGATTTTTTACTTCATTTGGTTTATTAGTGGCTGCTAGGTACTGAGCCCTGTGGTAGGTGCTCTGAGGTCCAAAGATGAAGAAGTCCTCTGAAGAACTCACAATCCCACAAGGAAGAAATGCTTAGGACAGTCATTGGTCGGATTTTGGCATCTGAAATAGGCTCTTTATTTTCTCCCTTAGTGACGCTCAGGCAATGCTTGTCTCCTGCTGTTGATGCATAATCTCAGAGGACTATGGATCATGCTGAAGAAAATGAAATCCTCACAGCAAGCCAGAGGTACTATGTGGAAAGACCTATCTTTAGTCACCCGGTCCTCCAGGAAAGACTGCACAAGAAAGACAAGATTTCGGATTCCATCGGGGATAAGCTGAAACAGGCATTCATGTAGGTTGTGTTTTAACCTATTTCCTTTATCCTGGCATCCAGTTATGACAGAAGCAAGGTCAAATGTATCAAGAAAATCTGGTGTGGCGAGAAAAAAAAATGGTGAGCACTTAGGATTTGCAGAACTGTCCACATGGTTCGCTCAGAGATAAGTATTTGATTGAACCCCAGCTTCAACATATAATTATGTTATATATTAAATTCTGATTACACTTGCATCTGTTTAACAGCTCCTCGAAACACCCTGCTTTCCCGTACTTCACCACCTTCAAGATTCCACCTCTTCCCCTTGTCTCTCAGGAATGTTCCAACCACTCTGTCATTTTGTCCACCCTGACTTCTACTTGGCAACATCCTGAATCTAAGTGCCAACCCCGGCTGTCAAGGACACTCAGTGTCCTAGGACTCTTCACTTTGGAGACGCTTACACAGCTGTGTTGCAGACCTGGGAATGCTAGTACATGTGTGCTTGAGACATGTGTCTCCTGATCGCTCCCAGGTTTAGGTTTGATTGCTGCGTTCTGGGCCCTTGGGACCACAGATCTGTGCTCTATGTTCATGTAAACTTCACAGGGACCCTCAGCTCTAGGTATGATCATCAGGAGAGTTTTAAAATGTAATCACTGGAGTCAGACTGTCTGAGTTTTAATTCTAGACCCAACCATGTACCCGCTGTGTGCTTGAGTTTCCAGCTCTGTAAAATGGGGATAATAATAATACTTAAGCTCATAGTTATTAGAGGTTACTATAATAATAATAATAATACTCATAGAGTTACTAGCACTTATATAGTGCTTCCATGTGCATATTTGCAAAGTACAAGGCACATGGCAAGCACTACATAAATGTAGCTATTATTATTAAACATAAATGTAGCTATTAAACAAGATGACTGGCATCTAATCTAGTTTCACTCACATTCATGGCTCTTGCCACAGATGCCCCAAATTTGCTTCTAATATCTTCCTTCACCTGATGATCAGATACTTTTGGCCACTGAAGACATTATATAAAGTACCATGCATGCTGCAAGAATGCACTGTCTTTTGAATGGAATAAATTGCTTCCTTGTCACCAGGAGGACTTGGGACTGTCATAGTGGTGATGGAATTTGTTTGTCCATGCTTTTATTTGGTGATGTCTTTGGTTATTGGCATAGACTGGCAAAAGGACTGGCCATGCCCCAGAACATAGTCTATGTTTCAAAATCAATTGAACTATATAGGGATTAAATACAAGGCCTTGATTTTATCAGCATGATGTTCCACTTAATCAAGACAGCCAGACATAGAATCTGTTAATACACACTCCAGTGACAAATGGTGTTTCTTTGAGTTTATCTGATCAAAGACCCTAAAGCATTGAAAATATATTCATGAAGTTCATAGTACTTGAGTAAATTTCCTTCATTGTGTAAGGACAGGGGAGGGAAACTAAATGGGCCTGCTGATCAGTGGTTCCACATTCAAAAATTTACTCAATCAGTAAATAATTCCCCTACTTTTTTTCCCCTTACTTTGTTTTTACACCAACACAGAAGGTACATTTAGGATTTCATCTATTAAAATCATAGTTTCCAGAGTATCTCAATTGTTTTGAAACTAAATTTTTCTTATTTTTCATGGTAAGTTGTAGAGCATTATTATAGAGCCAATTCAGATGTTCCTATTTAAAAAATAAAAAAGTTGCATGAAGCTCATTTGGTTTCTGATCTCTGCAGAGTGGAAAGGTCATTCTTTACATTAAATGTAAATTTTTCCTTATTCCTCCAGAATATAAGAAAGGGACAATACCTTGGTGTGAATTTCACAGAAATGTTCCTCATTTTATCTCGTTTTTTGGTTTTTTGTTTTTGCCCTCCCAGGTGTACTCCTAAGAAGATACGAAATATCATTTATATGTTCCTGCCCATAACTAAGTGGTTGCCAGCATACAAGTTCAAAGAGTATGTGTTGGGTGACTTGGTCTCAGGCATAAGCACAGGGGTACTTCAGCTTCCTCAAGGTTAGTAGCTATGTTTATTTCTTTTTTGTTGCTTCCCTTGCCACCATCTCTTCCAACAATTGTTGACCTTGTCTTCTGTTTAATTTCATCATGATTGGGAATTCATGGTTTTTAACTGTATCATTCTAGTAACCTTTACCTGTCTAAAGGAATTCTTCATAAACATTTAACCCATAAATGGCCAAAGACAGTGGTAATAGCATATGGTGATACTAGTTTTGCAGATCAGTATATTTATAGGAACTGGCTGGACATGGCCTTACTTCTTGCTAAGTTCATCAGTCACCCAATGAATGTGCTGATGGAGTTGTCATTGTTAAGGTTCTTGGCTTGTAAGTCCACATTCTAATGTCCAATTAGGCAGAAAGGCAGGAAGTAAATAAAAGCACATATAAATGTTTAATTACAATGTTTGATTACAAATGATGTTAACACAATGAAGGAATATACAGGGTACCAGAAGATAATAACAGGGGAACTTAACTAGGTAAGTCACAGAAACTTCTTTAAGAGAGATTTTTTTTTAGATTTTTAAAAACGTATTTATTCATGAGAGACAGAGGCAGAGACATAGGCAGAGGGTGAAGAAGGCTCCTTGTAGGGAGCCCAGTGTGGGACTCGATCCCGGGACCCCAGGACCATGACCCAAGCCAAACGCAGACGCTCAACCACTGAGCCACCCAGGCACCCTTTAAGAGAGATTTGAGCTGAGCCCTGAAGGGTGAGCAGGAGGCAGGTAAAGAATGAGAGGAAGTGCATTTGTGGCGTAAGGAAGCATGTGTGAAGACACATAACAGGAAAAGAACTGAGTGAAGACTCAGTTTGAAGAACTAACAGAAAAGCAGTTTGCTAGGAGTGTAGGGTGTGAAGAAGAGAGATGTGGAGGCAGTGGCAGGTCTGCAGAGCCTTGTTAGCCCTTCTTGGATTCCACTCTGAGTGAGTGCACTGAAAGCTATCACCATGCTTTCACTTGGGGTCTCTTTCTAAGAGGTCTGCTGTTCGCAGGGAAGGAATGGCTTTGGTCGGTGGGAGAGGCACCAGAATGAAAATGAGGAGACCAATTAGGGGTTACAGTGACTTAGTGTAGGCAAAAGGTGAAAATGGCTTGAATAGCCTCTAGGTCAGTTGGCCAAGAATCTATTCCCTTCTCCAGTTTCCCCAAAATTAATTACCAAATGATCAACTTATTAAAAAAAACACACACACACACAAAAAAACACAAACATACAAAAACCCTTCCCCTTCCCCCAGTTAGCTGCATTTTTAATTTTCCAAGTGACTGATTTACCAAATCTTTTTAACGAAATCCTTACAGCAGGTTTAGGATGGTTTTTCCATGCATTTGGTACCAACACCCCAAGGGCAGAGAAGGGGACAAGATCAAAGGCAGAGATAGGGGCGGGAGCAGAGCGCACAAAGGCTCAGTATCTGAAATGGGAAACAAGTGAAACTAACATTCAGTAACGTGGGACAGATAAAGCTACAGGAAGTGACTGCAGTGAACCCATGTCAATTAATACTTAAGAGAAATCTTCAGGATTGTGCCTATTTGAGTTTTCACTAAAATGGCATTCCACAAATTTGTTTTTGACCTGTTAGCTGTCTTCCATCTTGAACTAGGGTGGTGGCTATAAAATGAAAAGAATTTTCAAGATACATGCTATATTTTATGGTAAAGCCAGCCAGACTAGCTGTTGGATTGATTGGTAGGAGAATGGGGAAGCAAAGCATGTCAAGAATTACTTTAAGGTGTCTGGGTTGATGAGTTGCATGTGGGTACATAGAAGAAGAAGGATGGTCAAGAGTGACTCTCAGGTTTCTGGATCTAACATCTGAGGGTTGGAGGTGCCAATTGCAGTTATAGTAAAGACTGCAGGAGGAATGGATTTGAAGGGTAAGTTTGAACACGTTAAATTTGAAACGCTTGTGAGATAGACAAACGTTTATATGCTTATATTTAAAATATGAAAAAAAGATGAGCTAAAAAGAGAGCTGTGGATTATAGATGTCAGTTTGGGGATCTTTGACATACACAGGACATTTAAACCATAGCAATAGACAAGGTCACCCAAGAAGAGAAAGTGGAGTGAAAGACAAGAGAGGCAGGATCAAACTTTATCCAACATTAAAGGCCAAACAAAAAAGGAAGAATCAGCAGAAGAAACTGAAAAAGAACAAAGCATCTGGAAAGGGGAAGGAGAACCATGAGCCTTTGGTATTACAGAAAGGAAGAAGGAATGACCCAGTAGGTTGAACACTAAGAGTTGTAAATCATCCCACAATCAAATTTGTATGGAAAAGGTGTTTTTCTGCCCATCACTAGTCAGTGAAGATAGGTAAATAGGAAGAACAAAATGTAGCAAACACAGAGATACAAGATATAGTAAGTTAATTTCTCGTGGTTGGTTAATTGTCAGTAAAAAGACTTTGTTAAGTGTTGAATTGATTCATTAATTGAATCAAATTGAAACAATACGTGCTTCTCTAATTCATTTAAGATCCTTCTAATTCATGTAAAATGATGGTAAAGGACAGGGAAATGGTGTAAACTAGCAAGGACAAAGGGAATGGGCCACCACTTTTCCCACAAAGGGAAAGCTGACACCATGGAGCAGAAAAAAAAAAAATGGCAAGTTATAGACAAGTGAGAACTGAATTATCAGAGCTGAGGAAGCTGAATTAATCAGAGCTGAGAAAGATCCTGGGGTCTGCCTTGGAGAACATTGGGAAATTGGCAGCTCCAATGATTGTCAAAGGTGAGAGTCAGGCAGATGGCTAGAAGCAAGAGGATTGTTTGAAGTCTTTATCCTAAGTTGTGAGCACATGGACACCCAGGTCCCCACCCCGGTACTGTGCAGTGAATAGGAGGGTGAAAACACTGAAAGATGTTGAAAGAATGAAGTCTACACATTGACCTATGGGCTGACAAAGGCTCTTCCTTGTCCTTTGCAGCTCCAAAGAGCCTGTCAGAACCTACAGCCCAAGGCAAACAATGAACCACCCCCAGAAAGAAAAAGCTATAGTGCCAACTGGAGGTTCTCTGGCCAAGATGCTGGCTGGTGCCCCCAGTTGCCATACAGTAAAGCTGATCAGTAGACAAAGGGAGCCAATGCGCACAAAGCTTCAAAGAAGAAAACAAACAGAAAGCTCATTGGGCACATAACTAGTGGAGAGGGCAAAATAAAACATTTGCTCTGTAATATCCTCAGCAAGATCTGAAAACATATTGAATCCATGACATAACACAATGTGATTTTTTTAATTTTATTTATTTTGAGAGAGAGCATGATCAGGGGAAGGGGCAGATGCAGAGGAGAGAGAGAATATCAAGCAGATTCCATGCTAAGCACAGAGCCTGCACATGGCTTCATCTCAGGACCCTGAGACCATGACCTGAGCTGAAGAGTTGGATACTTAACCAGCTGAGCCGCCCAGGCACCCTAGGATGTGACTTTTAAAAAGAACCTTCAGAGAACAAGAGAGTGCTCATAGAAATTAAAAATATGATAGCTGGAAGGGGCACTTGAGTGGCTCAGTGGTTGAGTGTCTGCCTTCGGCTCAGGTCGTGATCCTGGGGTCCTGGGATCGAGTCCCGTGTCAGGCTCCCCAGAGGGAACCTGCTTCTCCCTCTGCCTGTGTTTCTGCCTCTCTCTGTGTGTCTCTCATGAATAAATAAATAATATCTTTTTAAAAAGATATGATAAGTGGAATAAAATATTCAAAGGGTTTGAAGATAGAGGAAATCTGGAAGTCAAAGAAAAAGATGAATACAAGCACAATAAGAAATACAAGATAAAAATACCAGAGGATCAATCCTGGTGTTCTGTCATCCACTGGCAATTCCAGAAAGAAGAGGATAAACAGAGGGGAAGAGACTATCAAGGAACATTTTCAGAATTGAAATACATGAGTTTTCAGACTGCAAGAAACCACCAAGTACCCAGCAGAATGAGGGAGGGAATAAATAAACAACAAACAAACGAGGCAGAGCATAATAAACTCAGAATATCAGGGATAAATAGAAGATTTCAAAGCTTCTTAGGGGGGAAAAAAGTCATGTAATTAGGATATAACTAAGTGGAAGCTGAAAAAAATAGTAGTTAACATCTGAAACTAAAAAACTAAGGATAACAGTAGTAACATTATTTAGAACAAAGTTTCTCCACCCACACCATGCCAGGAGCAGCCCCACCCTCTCAGTGACAATAATAAAATATGTCTCCTGACCTTGTCAGATGTCCCCTGGGGCGCAAAATCCTCTCAGTTGAGAACGACTGATTCAGAGAAATGAGATAAATGGTAGAAAAAAAGCTAAACAAATTGGAAATGAGTGCCTCTGGAGAGCAGAACCTGGAGATGAGGCTTTTCTTTAGAGCCTTTTAGTACTGGCTTTTTAAACTATGAGCATGCATATCTTTGAAATAAAATTTTCAAATTTTATTTTTTTAATTAAAAGTAGAATTTGTTTTTAAAAAGGACGACATTAAAATGATAATAATATTATATGTGGGTTAGGGATGCTTCCCCTATTCCTCTTTGCTAAAAATTTTTTTTCTCTTCACAACAAGACAGTGTACTAAGTGAATTTTCTGGTTGTCCCAGATATTTGCCTAAGCCCCCTAAGCTGAGAACAAGGGTGTTTATTGTCTCCATATCCTGAAAAAGATACCAGACCACTGATGCAAAAACTATGAGTGAATGACACCAGACTCTTTAGTGCATCACTTCAACAGGATATATTTGGGGACCAGGTATATGATAATAGATTTGGAATGAGAATTTTCTAGAATTTCTAGAATTTTCTAGTGCTTTCTAGGTAAAAGTACTATATATTTCTCCCCCATGTAAAATCTAGGTACGAGGGACTGCAAGAGAACCACTCAGAGCGCTGGACATGTGTCCCCTGTAGTTTTGGGGGATTGTTGCCTAATTCTTGCAAGAAAAAAATCTACAGGTTAAAAAAAAGGTGTAAACCACCCATGTAAGCGGAATGGAGAGCCCTCCAGTGGTCATGGCTTGCACTTCTGAAGTGTCTTGGCATAAAGTTGCCAAGCTTTCCCACTGGATAAGTAGGTGCTCTGGAAGGTAACAAGGCTTGGCTCATTTGAAAGGTACCTGCCCAAGAAGACTGCCTACAGAGGAGCATATGCCAGCAGAGAGGACCTGGAAGAGGTGTAAGAACTGGCACCTGGGAGTTCCTTATTGAAAAGGGATCTGCAAAAAATCCACAAAAACACCCCATTAGAGAAACAGCCAGCATTTGGCCATCAATGCAGATCATAGCTCCACCAATCAAGTAAGACTTTCCACCCTTACTTAGGTTGGGAAAGAATAAAACAGAAAAACCGGCCCCTTGGCAAAGAGGAGATCACCAGGAAAATGGTCTCAGGCTAGGTGTAGGATTGGGATGTATGGGGGTGGGCAGGTGAAGACACAGCTGCTGAAATTAATGTGGCTTTCGCCTCTTCATCATAGAGAGCCAGGCGACAAATACACATGACCCTCTGCTTTCTAATGATCTCTCCGTTTCTGTTTGGTTTCAATCCCACAGGGTTAGCCTTTGCAATGCTGGCTGCTGTGCCTCCCGTGTTTGGCCTGTACTCTTCATTTTACCCTGTTATCATGTATTGTTTTCTTGGAACTTCCAGACACATATCCATAGGTAAAAGCTTAGAGTTGATATTTTAGTTTGGATTTCCAAGATTTGCAGTGTGCCAAAGAAAGAGCATGTTTGTTATCAGAACATCCGTTAAATGGTAATGTTTGTTACCGCATACCCAGTAGGTGCTTTATATAAATACACCCCCCCCCCAGATTTCTAGAACTGATAACTTTCTTATAATCTTGGCATGACAAGAAAAAAAAAGACCATTTTCTTGTGTAAAAAGAGCAATTGTTGAAATCTGGGAAGTAAGTACCTTCGTTCATAATACAATTTGCTTATACCTGGTTTTTCTTATTTTATTTTATTGGCGTTATTGCATGTTCCTGATTACTTATGCATGTATTGCTTTTCATCCTCTTTTAGGCTCTGAATTATACATGATTTTTCCCAGTTTATAGCATAAGATTTACATGGACTTCATAACAGTGTTGGTGCTGCATGAGACTGCCACCAGCAAGTCCACACATGATGTTTCCGATATCTGGTGCTGGGTAACAAATACCCCAAATATAGCAGATTAAAATACTTACTCGATTATCTTGCACAGTTGCTATGGGTCAGGATTTAGGAAGCACTCCTCTTGAGCAGGTCTGGCTCAAGAGTCTGTCAGCAGCTGAGAATCAGAGGAGGAGCTGGAGCAGCTACTCACTCTTCCCACCCTCCCCACCCTCTATCCTTCTCTCCCCATGATCCTAACTGAGCTTGCTCACACTCAGGGCCCCAGCATAAACAAGTAGTATAGCTGTCAGTTGGAAGCAGCATCACCTTCTGTTACCTAGCCTTCAAAGCCACACAGTATCACTTTTCCTGCATTCTTGTGGTGATTAACATGTCGCAAGTGCACCCAGATTCAAGGAGAGAGGAATTTGACTACCTCCTAATGGGCAGATGTCCAGGTTCCAGAAGAGTCCATCGGAGGGAAGATATCATCGTGTTTATTTTTTGAAAATATGATCTATACATACACAGCTTACTCATAACCCAGGGGAGGAAGTCTGAAGAGGAGGGCAGTGCAATTTCACATCAGTGATGCTTTTTAATTGACCTCACCCATGTCTCCTTGAGACCCAGCAACCACATGAGATGCGCTGAAAATGGTTTCCTTAATATAATGCCTCACTATTTCAGGTCCATTTGCTGTGATTAGCCTGATGATTGGCGGTGTGGCTGTTCGATTAGTCCCTGATGATATAGTCATTCCAGGAGGAGTAAATGCGACCAATGGCACAGAAGCAAGAGATGCCTTGAGAGTGAAAGTCGCCATGTCTGTGACCTTACTTTCAGGAATCATCCAGGTAATATTCATAGATGGAAAAATTGGCTCTTATTTGTTCACTTCATAAATATCTATTGAGTCTTCGTGGCTGGTCTGCGTGGTGGGTAGGGTCCAGCTAGCAAAATTCAGAGCACTCAGGATCACCAGTCCCACTGCATGCCTTACCTAAGTTGGTATTTATTAGGAACGAGCAAGCTTCAGTTGGGTACTTCAGAGATTCCAAAAGCAAGGAAAGTTTAAAGCAGGAACAATTAGTAATGGAAAGAAGACATCTCTTGTCTGCTTGGAAGGAGCAGGAAGTGACATTGACTAAATGTGCCCCCAGTTCTGAAGGACAGGGAAAGGGTGAGTGTGCCCAGTGCTCCATGGGGCTCCAAGCCTCTCCAAACCTTCCACTGTTCTGACCACTGCAGATGCAGGAGTGTAGTGTTAGAAAGTAGTCCAGAAGGAACTTTTGTTTTGTTTTCTGTTGGTTTTTACTTCCTGATCTATCAAGTGACTTATTTGTTTCTTTGTCATTAAAAAAAATAGTTTTGCCTAGGTGTCTGTAGGTTTGGATTTGTGGCCATATATCTCACAGAGCCCCTGGTCCGTGGGTTTACCACTGCAGCAGCTGTGCATGTCTTTACCTCCATGTTAAAATACTTGTTTGGAGTGAAAACAAAGCGGTACAGTGGGATCTTTTCAGTGGTGTATGTAAGTAAGCTATTTGCTGACTTATGGGTACTTGTTTTTCCTCCTTTATTTTCTCCTCTTCTCTTCTATATCTCTCTCACCAAGGCTCACTTTTCCAAGAATTAAAATAAATGGAAAAAGGGGCACCTGAGTGGCTCAGTCAATGAAATATGCCTTCGGCTCAGGTCATGATCTTGGGGTCCTGGGATCAAGCCCCATGTCAGGCTCCCTGCCCAGTGAGGAGACTGCTTCTCCCTCTCCCTGTGCACCCTCCCCCCAGCTTGTGCTCTCACTCTTTCTTTCTAGTCTGTTCTCTCTCAAATATATAAAAATCTTTTTAAAAAATAAAATAAAATGGAGAAGATCTCATTATTCTAAGACTTTTCTGAGAACCCTACAAGGGGAATTAAACTTTACAGTCCCATTTTATTAACATGTGATGCCTCACAAGGAATTTTTTTATTAGGCCTTTATTTTGGTGACTGCACCTTCACCCTAATCAGCAGAAGAGACCACTTTTTCTTAAAATCAAATTGTGGGGGGGATCCCTGGGTGGCGCAGTGGTTTGGCGCCTGCCTTTGGCCCAGGGCGCAATCCTGGAGACCCAGGATCGAATCCCACATCGGGCTCCCGGTGCATGGAGCCTGCTTCTCCCTCTGCCTGTGTCTCTGCCTCTCTCTGTCTCTCTCTCTCTCTCTCTCTCTGTGTGTGTGTGTGTGTGTGTAACTATCATAAATAAATAAAAATAAAAAAAAAAATACTTTAAAAAAATTGTGGGGGATCCCTGGGTGGCTCAGCGGTTTAGCACCTGCCTTCGGCCAGGGCGCGATCCTGGAGTCCCAGGATCGAGTCCCGCATCGGGCTCTCGGCATGGAGCCTGCTTCTCCCTCCTCCTGTGTCTCTGCCTCTCTCTCTCTCTCTATCATTCATAAATAAATAAATAAATGAATAAATAAATAGATAAATAGTTAAAAAAAATAATAAAATAAAAGTAAAACCAAATTGTGTTCACTTTGGGAACTAACATAATTTAAAGGCATCGTGGAAGAACACATCTCTCTCAGAAACTGCTTACTCAAACAGGCAAAAAAAAATTTAAGTAAATCTATAAAAGATTTAACTCACACAATTACCCACTGAATATAATAAAATATATGTAGACCTTTGACTCTAGCTCCAAGAAAATATAAATTATTTGCAGGCACAGAGGGAACAATGGGAAGAACTGGTCATGTTGAAACTGATCACAAGTTCTAAAAATTCAGTATTTTCTCACACAGTGCAGCAACTGATAACTAAATATACCTTTAAAACCCCCATACATTTGGAAAACAATAAACCTTCTTCTGGTTAGTCCCTGGATAAAGAGGAAATTATGAAATAATTAAAACCAAATGACGGTCAAATGCTGCTAAAGCTAATCTTGGACAGAAGGACCAATGGCCTTTGCAGGTGTTTAGGTGCCATTCACAATGCCAGACACAGCAGTGAGTGGGCAGATACGGCCCTTGCCTCTTGGAGCCCACAGTCCAATGGGAAGACAGATGGTAAACTACGAATTGCAAAAATAGGTAATGAATTACAAACCGTGTTACATGCTATGGAGGAAAGGTACACACTGCTCCAAAAGTTGAATGGGAACACCTTTTGATTCGAGGTCTAAGAAAATCACTCTAAGGAAGTGACATTTTATTTTATTTTATTTTTAAAGATTTTATTTATTCATGAGAGAGAGAGAGAGGCAGAGACACAGGTAGCAGGAGAAGCAGGCTCCATGCAGGGAGCCCGACGTGGGACTCAACCCCGGGTCTCCAGGATCACACCTTGGGCCAAAGGCAGGCACTCAACCACTGAGCCACCCAGGGATCCCCAGGAAGTGATATTTTATTTTATTTTATTTTATTTTATTTTATTTTATTTTATTTTTTATTTTATTTTATTTTATTTTATTTTATTTTATTTTATTTTATTTTATTTTATTTTATTTTATTTTATTTTTTTATTTTATTTTTTTTTTTTTTTTTTTTTTTATTTTTTTTATTTTTTTTATTTTATTTTATTTTATTTTATTTTATTTTATTTTATTTTATTTTATTTTATATTTTATTTTATTTTATTTTATTTTATTTTATTTTATTTTAATGATAGAGAGAGAGGCAGAGACACAGGAGGAGGAAGAAGCAGGCTCCATGCCAAGAGCCTGACTTGGGACTTGATCCCGGGACTCCAGGTTCGCGTCCTGGGCCAAAGGCAGGCGCTAAACCACTGAGCCATCCAGGGATTCCCCTGGAAGTGACATTTTAAATTGAGTCCTCGATTGATTAGAATGGTATCAAACTGTGGGAACATCCCTTAAATAAATAAATCCTTCATTTCTCATAGTTGCTGAGGCCATGCTTCCTACTCTGAGAGTTCTCTCAGTGCCTTGCCACAGAGGAAGCAGATCAGCACCTGAGTGCACTCTAGACATTGGCAGGCATGGTGTGTAGCCTGGGCTCAGCATGACCCACTCTTCCGGGGTCCAGGATGAGTACTGACCATATTTGGGGTGCTGAGGCTGCAACCCTAGGATACAAATAGGAGACTTTCCTTTCTAACTCTCCTGGGCTTCTTCCAAACTTCAGCACTCTCTCGCCTTTGAAATGCACCTGATCCCTCTCATCTGCTACCCATGACTTCTTTCTCCCCCTTTGACCTCCCAAAAACTTTTCTGTGGGGGCACGTGGGTGGCTCAGTTGCTTGGGTCTCTGTCTTTAGCTCAGGTCATGATCCCAGCATCCTGAGATTGAGCCCCAGAGCCCCACATTGGGCTCCCTGTTCAGCAGGGAGTCTCCCTCTGCCCCTCACCCAGCTTGGGCTCTGGCGCTCTCTCAAAAAAATAAATAAAATCTTCTTAAAAACTTTTCTGTGCATTTATCTTTGCATTATTTTGCTGATAACACCTCTATTTTTTTCTAATGCTCAGGACTTAATTTAAGGGGTACTTTTCTGAATTTGATACTACATTGAGCCATTACCAAATCAAAGAACGCTATTGTATAAAATTGGTTAAGAACTGTAACTATGGGGGCATCTGCGTGGCTCAGTAAATTAAGCATCCAACTTGATTTTGGCCCTATCATGGTCTCAGGGTCATGAGATAGAGCCCTATGTGAGATTGAGCCCAGTGTGGAGACTGCTTGGGATTCTCTCCCTCCCTCTCCCCTGCTCACCTGTGCTGTCTCTCAAAAAGAAAAAGAAAAAGAAACTATAAAGTTATATGACTGGGTAAAAATGCCTCCTACTGGTAGGAGAGAGAACTCTCAGTCTGAGAGCTTTCTTTTAACTAGAATTGCATGGTGATGGGATGGCTGGTGTGAATTAGTGCACTAGTGTCTCTGTTCAGGGGCTGTTGCTTGATGTAAACATCCAGCGTTCACTGTGTTACAGAGTACAGTTGCTGTGTTGCAGAATGTTAAAAACCTCAACGTGTGTTCTCTAGGCGTCGGGCTGATGGTTTTTGGTTTGCTGTTGGGTGGCAAGGAGTTTAATGAGAGATTTAAAGAGAAATTGCCGGCACCCATTCCTTTAGAATTCTTTGCGGTAAGTCAACTTTGGCCACACACACGTAGCTATTCTGGAGAGGGATCTGGACAGAAGAGGAATAGGAAGTTCTACCATTTTTCTCCCAGGTCTGCCAAAGGGAAGGTTAGAATTTGTCAAGGGGAACTTCCACAAATATGCTGAAAGAAAAGGAAATCTATTAGAGACAGGGATGATTTTTAAAATATAGGTGGAGGCCATCCATAAAAATTTTAATATGAATCATCTCTGAGTGATGAGACTATGGAATATTTTTCTTCCTCAAATTTTTATCATCTGATTGTGTTATAATGAACACCTACAACTTTAATAACCTGAAAAAATTAAGCTGTTTCCATTTTTGAAAAGAGCAAGAGACCAAAGGTTCCCAGATTTTTCTTGGTTCCCGGCACTCCCAGGCCAAAAGAAATACCCAACAGTTCCATGTATTAGTAGTTAATACATATTTACATCGTAATACATACTTACATCTAACAATTTAGGAACCATTGTAGAAACAGTGCACATGCAATGAACCTGCTATATACTCTATTATGTTCTTAAATGACCACAACTGTTTCATTATAACATTACCTTATTACTGGTTTCCCGCAGCGGCCACTACTGTGAGGCCCTGGCTCCCTACCCTGACCAGCCCTAACTCTCTCCTGGATGACCCACTCAGAAAGTTCTAGAGCAATAGTTCTTCAAGATGAAAAGTATTTCGTCTCCTTCTGTTATTTTTCCATTGCACTTCAGTAAGGGTTGCCCTTGACACACCAGCTCGTTCTACGTTGCCCTGACTGTCCAGGAGGGCTTACACACAATGGAACTCTGTGACCCTGACTGTAGCTGAGGTGGGTGTGCCTGTAACAGCAGAGGCCTGTAACCACAGTTGGTGCTGTGCCATGGACACAAACATAGGTCCAAACATAGGTTCTGTACGGACTCCCTGTCAGTGTACCACCCTCACAATACACTTCTCAACATCCTTTGTTGATGCCATCTTAGCCAGAGACTCTTTCGACTGCCAAAGGCAAAGGCAACTCCTAAAAGGTTTTGAGTTAAAAGTGAAAGTAGGTTTTGGCCTGACTGACAAACTGTTTGAACCTTACTTTTGTGGCAGTTGAATTTTCATCTATGAAGGCGCATTTGGATTTGTGTCTGTTTTAGGTGGTGATGGGAACTGGCATTTCAGCTGGGTTTAACTTGAAAGAGTCATACAACGTGGATGTCGTCGGGACACTTCCGCTGGGGTAGGAAGTTTTATTTTAAGTGACAGTGCAACTTGAATAATCAATAGATCTATTATTGTTTCTAACTCCTGCTTTAGTATGCTTACAATCCAACATCTTTTTTTTTTTTCCTATGTATCAAATAGCTGAGGCTTTGGGTTTTTTGAGTTTTAGCCCCCTTTTTTTTTAAATTGTGGTTAAAAAAACATATAACAGAAAATTTACCATCTTAATCCTTTGGATGCATACACTTCAGTATGTTAAGTATATTCACATTGTCGTGAAACAGATCTGCAGAACTTTCTCATCTTGCAAATCTGAAACTATACCCAACAATAATTAAACAATAATTAAACAATAATTCCCTATTCTCCCTTCCTCCCAGCCCCTGGAAACCACCATTCTTTTTCTCTGTACAAATTAACTACTCTTGATAACTTATATAAGTGGAATTCTATTTGCCTTTTTGCGACTAGCTTATTTCATTCAGCATAAAATCCCCAGAATTCATCTATGTTGTAGCAAGTGACAGTGTCCTTCCTTTTTAAAGCTGAATAAAATTTCACTGTGTGTGTGTATATATATGTATACAATATATATATATATATATGTCAATCACATTTATCTGTTCACCCAACAATGGACATTTGGGTTGCTTCCACCTCTTAGCGATTGTGAATGTTACTGCTGTGAACATGGATGTGCAAATATGTCCTCAGGCTCCTACTTGTGGGTCTTCTGGATATAGTCCCAGAAGTGGGATTGCTGGATCATGTGATAGTTCAATTTTAAACTTTTTGAGGAACTTGCATACTATCTTCTGTAGTGATCACACCATTTTAAAGTCCCACCAACAGTGGTACGTAGTATTTTGTTTCATATTGTTTAGCACTTACTGGTTTTTAAAATCTCTCTTCAAGAGAGGGCATCAGAATTAAGAGCAAAAATACCTAAATCTAGCCTGACGCTTACTAACTGTGTGACTTTGGGCAGGTCACTGACCCTCTTAAAGCCCCAGCCTCCTCCCCTGCTAGGGTAGCATGGTAATCAAGTCCTGTGTCAAGGGTAATGGTGAGGCCACTGGAGATAGTGCACATAAAGCACCACCTAGCGTGTACCTCGAAGCCTTGAAGACATGCTAATTGGAAGTTCTGTGGCTCATTTTTTTCAACAGATTTTCTAGTTTCAAGTCATATATGCTTTGTCGATCTTCTTTAACTCTACCTTTCAAATGTTTTTACTCTTCTTTTTATATTTGAAGGAGCTAGGGATCCCTGGGTGGTGCAGCGGTTTAGCGCCTGCCTTTGGCCCAGGGCGTGATCCTGGAGACCCGGGATCGAATCCCACGTCGGGCTCCCGGTGCATGGAGCCTGCTTCTCCCTCTGCCTGTGTCTCTGCCTCTCTCTCTCTCTGTGTGACTATCATAAAAATATATATATATATATTTGAAGGAGCTAGCATAACTTTGAGCCTCTCTTCTCATCTCATTCTGTTCCTCTCTGACACGCTCTGGCTGTCTCTATATTGCTCTCTGTGTCTCTGTCTCTTGTACTGTCTCTTTCTCTTGCCTTCTTCTCTCTTCCCAGATGAGCAGAATCAGATGTTTGCCCAGATGTTGGCCACTGATGAACCTGGCATACTGCATCAAGCCTTGCCTCTGGTTCCATCTGAGAATTTCCTGGGAAGCGCAAGGGCAGGAGTTGCTCAGGAAGCCAGAGATCACCCCCAACGCCCACCCCTACCCCAGAGCAAGTGTTGAAGGAGGAAGCATGCACTCCCCTTCAAAATAATGGGTTGCTGTCATGAACATGTTACTTATGATTCAGTGTAGGCCTAAAACACAGTAATAACACCTATTTTTCTGTTTGGACTTAAGATTTATAAAATACTTTTATAACTGCCATCTCAGTGGGTGCTCACAATAACACTATTGACGTACATACATTTTACAAGGTAAAGAAGTTCATTTATTTGGCATATGTTTATTAAGTGCCTACTGTGTACCAGAGACACAGCAGTTAAAAACAAAAGCAGCCATGCAAGCAAAAAAGTGTCTGCTGCCTTGAAGTTTATATTCTCCAGTGGTGGAGGGAGGGGTGGGTGGAGAAAAAGTAGTGAGAAGTGCTATGCAGAAAAGGGAGGCCTGCTAAGGGATAGAAGGGGCTGGGCTGCTGTGTTAAGTAGGCTATTAGAGAAGGTGACATTTGAGAGATGTGGATGAGGTTTAGTGGCTCACAGGTGAGTCCCAGCCTGGACCCAGAATACAGTCTTCCGATGCTCAGTTGTTCGCGGTTTCCATTACCTCACACCTGGGTCCCTAACATAATTAATCGTGTGCTACACATTAGTCTTTGACTAGATCCAGTAGACAATTCTATTCAATAACTGATCACAAATAATTTGGTTAAATGTGAATTCTTACGGTTAGATTTCTCCTTTTAAAAATTTACATGCAGTTCACCACCGTTTCTACCCAATACCTTCCTTTTCCTGTTGCTTTGTACCGAAATATGTTGCTTTTCCTCCGTATGTGAGAGCCATACTTTAAAAAAAATTTTTTTACCCTTCTATAACCTGGCTACACTTTCTGGAACTTTGCCCAAAACTAAGCAGGAAATAAGTAATGCTTACCTATTTACATATCTACATATAATCATACTGTTTCAGTTATCTATGAGTCTTACTGCTGAGTAACAGCTCCAAAACATCTCAAAACAACAGCCATTTATTTGCTCACAATTCACAACCTAGGTAGGGAGCTGGGTGATCTCCTGGTGTCACTTGGGGTCTTTCATGTCTGAAGGTGTGCCTGGTGCTGGAGGATCCAGGAGGACTTCACTCATGTGTCTGATACCTCAAGTGGAGGGCTGGAATGGGTGATGACTGGCTGGCATCTTCTCCCCACCTGGTGACTCTGGCTGGATAGCCAGACTGTTATATGGTGACTCAAGGAAACAAGATAGAAAAAATAGGAGGTGCCAGGCTTCTAAAAGCACTCATACAGCATCACTTGCACCACATTCAGTTGGCTCAATCAAATCACAAGACCAGCCCAGACTCACCAGAGGAGAAACAGATCCTCCCAGCCTCAGGGGACAAGCAGCACATACAAGTATGGGAGGAACTGTTGGCAACCATATTTGAAAGCAAACTATGCATCTATACACACCCACAAATACACACATAGCACAGTGTCCAGAAAGTGACAGCTGACTCTTAAAGATCCCAATCATGGCAATATACCCTGTTTCTTAGTCTACTTTCCTTAACTCATTCAAAAATACATTCTTTTATTCTGCAGTCCCAAGTCTGCTGCTAGGGCTTCCCTCATGGCAAATGCTTCTATAGCAAAATGCAAGGGAAAGACAATAAGTTTTGCAGTGGGACCTCCTGGGTTTAACTCCTTGCTCCATCTTGGACAAATAACATCTGCAGGTATCCATTTGTTTTACCTATAAATTAGGATATTAATGGCACCCATCTAATAGGATTGCTATGAGGACAGATGAGATGACGTATGTCAGGCATACAGCACAAAATGTAGGCTCACTATATGTTCAATTTTTTTTTCCTTCTCCCCTTCCCTTTCCCTTACCCCAGAACCTGAGACACCCCCTTTATCACCGTGATACGACACAGTAAGAGAAATAGGCACAGGGAGGCCAGTTCTTCATGGTTTTTGTTGTACTGGTGGTGATGTGTACATGAGCCATTTGACCTTAGACAATTTGCTTAGTCTCACTATGCCTCATCATCTGTAAACTGAGGAATATAGTGGTTCCTAGCTCACTGGGCTGTCTGAGATAAATAAGCACAGAACCTGGCACAGGGGAAGCACCTAATAAATGGTTGTTAATGTAAAAAAGAATTATATGGTACCTAAACTGGTTAGTATTATTATCTAGCCCAATGCCTTGTATTGAATCAGATGCCTTTGAAAAACCTCTATTGCCCCTTATCCCATACCATTCCAGGAAATCCCTATTCTGTTCCTTTAGGACAAGGGTTCGGTTCCAAACTATAAGCATGGACCACAAAAACTGGATTCCCCATTGGTCCCTCTAGATTCCCAGTACTACCAGGTGAGACCCAAAGTGGATAACCTGTGGCTCCTTTCCCGTGTTGGAAATTCACTTAAAGGGATCCTGGAAAACAGTCTTTACTCGAAATAACAAAAGGAAACAGTCTTGATAGTAGTTCTCCTCTAAGATAGACTTCCTGCCCTCAGACTTTGGTTCAAATGTCTTGTGCCATCTGAGCACTTTGCTGACCCTCTCTTCTTCCTGTTCGGTGTCTTACTTACACCTGCCATACAGGGTGTCATGAGGTATGAGGTTACTCCTTTTCTAAATAAAACCGCATCTGATGTCTGCTGATAACCCATTCAGGTAGAAAGCTAGTAATAATAGGGTTGGAGCCTAAAAAGAACCTTTGTGTGTCAAAGAGGGTGTTTCTTTTTGACAAACCAGAGCACACAGGTATCCAAGCATTGATCACCTCATTTGCAGATGATGCTGTCCTGAAATGCTCCCCTCTAGTTGCATGGTTTTTCCCCCATGGCCACAATGCTTGGGTTAAAGTCAGCTTGACCTTTCAGGCTACTACCTCCAGCCAACCCGGACACCAGCCTCTTCCACCTTGTGTACGTGGATGCCATCGCCATAGCCATTGTTGGATTTTCAGTGACCATATCAATGGCCAAGACCCTGGCAAATAAACATGGCTACCAGGTTGATGGCAATCAGGTAGGAAATCATTAATTCCCTCCAGATGTTTCATTATGGTATAATCATCCTGCTGTGCTATGGAAGGCAAATGATTGGAATTTCTCTGTCTCAGTAGAAAAACTTCTAGTTTGATGATGGAGGTATTGGAAACATGTACTTATTCAACACTACAGTTTTTTTTTCATTATGTGCATTAGATCATCAGAGCACTGAGATACAGTCCTACCTCGTGTCACAGGTAGGGGTCCTGCTAGGAAGATGTAACCTTTGGATGTGAGGCTTTCAGTTTGCCATACTCCAACAGATGTTATCCCTATTTTTCAAAGCTCACAGCCTGAGAAGTAAATGTTTATCTAGAACCATTTCTGGGAAGACATTTCCTTGTTCATTGAACTTGGAATATATGATTCATCACTCAAACTCCACATTATATTCTTTGCCACCTCCTTTTTTTTATAAATTTATTTTTTATTGGTGTTCAATTTGCCAATATATAGAATAATACCCAGTGCTCATCCGTCAAGTGCCAACCTCAGTGCCCATCACCCAGTCACCCCCACCCCGCGCCCACCTCCCCTTCCACCACCCCTAGTTCATTTCCCAGAGTTATGAGTCTCTCATGTTCTGTCTCCCCTTCTGATATTTCCCACTCATTCTTTCTCCTTTCCCCTTTATTCCCTTTCACTATTTTTTATATTCCCCAAATGAATGAGAACATATAATGTTTGTCCTTCTCCGATTGACTTACTTCACCCAGCATAATACCCTCCGGTTCCATCCACGTCAAAGCAAATGGTGGGTATTTGTCATTTCTAATGGCTGAGGAATATTCCCTTGTATACATAAACCACATCTTCTTTATCCATTCATCTTTCGATGGACACCGAGGCTCCTCCCACAGTTTGGCTATTGTGGACATTGCTGCTATAAACATCGGGGTGCAGGTGTTCCAGCGTTTCACTGCATCTGTATCTTTGGGGTAAATCCCCAACAGTGCAATTGCTGGGTCATAGGGCAGATCTATTTTTAACTCTTTGAGGAACCTCCACACAGTTGATGGGAATGTGAACTGGTACAGCCACTCTGGAGAACTGCCACCTCCTTTTTAAATTTTTTTGTTTTTTAGAGAGGATGAGGGGAGGGACAAAGGGAGAGGAAGAGAGAGAATCTTCAAGCAGACTCCACACCCAGCATGGAGCCCAATGTGGGGCTCGAACTCATGACCATAAGATCAAGATGACCTGAGCCAAAATCAAGAGTCGCTAAATGGCTGGGCCTCCCAGATGCCCCGCCACCTCCTTTTATAACCTATCAATAGATAAGCTGAATACCATTAGGCATAATTTTGGCATGACAGTGTCTACTTTAACACACTGTGTGTTTCTAGGAGAATGTTAAATGCTCCACAATCCCAAGGACACGATGATTCAACTAGAAAGACCAGAAGTAGCCCTGAAAGCAGGTCTCACTCACTGGTCCCAAGAGGACAATGTCATGTACTCATTGAAGGGCAAGAGTCGAGGCATTTAGAAGATGCCAACAATTCTATACCAATAACTTACAACAAAAATATTCTCCCTTTTTGCTGCAGTTTTCTTTAAAAAAAATTATTTGTATAAGAAAGTGTGTCTGGGAAAGAGGGGACTAAGTAGTGAGTGCAGCTTTTATCTCTTGCGAACATTGTCGCTTTTCTCTCATCTTAAGAATGTCTATTTTAAACTCGTGCTAAGGAAACTTTTATACTTGGAAAGAGAATAAAGAGACACCCTACACTGCGGAAAATGTGTCTAAAATGGGCCATCTTGCCTTTTTTTCTGAAGAATGACTGACCTCTGGTGTGCTTTGTTTCCACATGGAAAAGGAGCTCATCGCCCTGGGACTGTGCAATTCCATTGGCTCACTCTTCCAGACTTTCTCCATTTCGTGCTCCTTGTCTCGAAGCCTTGTTCAGGAGGGAACCGGAGGCAAGACACAGGTGTGTATACAACCGGCCTCTCAGGACGGTGATTTGGGGTGGTAAACTTTAATCCCTTGATTCTATTCTGAACCCAAACAAAGCTGCTCCATCTGAAGATTGACGCTCCATTGAGCTATGCAGTGAATCAGAGAAGGGCATGAATGGTCGGAGCAAAACACAGGAACTGAATATATAGGAAAGAGGTATATTTTCCAGTTAAATTGAAAATTATACAACAGTCTCTGCTGCCAGTAAACCTTACAGTCCAGACATAGGATGTTGCTATGAAAGTCTGAGACCTAGTATGGTCAAGATGGCAGCACGTCCAGTAGAACTTCCTGCAATGATGGAAAAGTTCACTATTTTCACTGTCCAGTATGACAGCTCTTAGCCACATGGGGCCCTTGAGCAGTTGAAATGTGGGAAATGCAACCGAGACCAGAATTTTTAGTTGTATTTAATTTTAATTTTAAAAATATAATAACTGCATGTGGCTAGTGGTCATTGGACAGAAGGATCCCATTTGATTCTCCTGGCCCTTGTGGATCTTGCTTAGGTCATTATCTCCTTTCCCTCACCCCTGGCGAGGGCATTTCAGTCAGGGTTTTTAATCATTTCAACCTCTATTTATTTTTAAAGATTTTGTTTGTTTATTTGAGAAAGAGAGCACAGAAGGAGGGGGAGAAGCAGACTCCCTGCTGAACAGGAAGCCTGACCTGGGGCTCGATCCCAGGACCCCAGGATCCTGAACTGAGCCGAAGGCAGGTGCTTCACTGACTGAGCCACCCAGGCGCCCCTCAGCCTCTATTTAAAAGCTATAAGAGAAACTAAAACTTCAGAAAGGGAGTGTGAAGGAGTTACAGGTTTATGCACTGGTTTTGATGACTTGTTTGAATCCATATTTTCTTGATCTTCCTTCAGTGATTATCAAAAGACTAAGATCAGGGCAGCCTGGGTGGGTCAGCGGTTTAGCGCCACCGTCAGCCCAGGGTGTGATCCTGGAGACCCGGGATCGAGTCCCACGTCGGGCTCCCTGTTAGGAGGAGTCTGCTTCTCCCTCTGCCTGTGTCTCTGCCTCACTCTCTCTCTTTCTCTGTCTCTCATAAATAAATAAAATTTTTTTAAAAAGACTGAGATCACCCTCTGCCTTGCCTCTTACTCATATCTCCTAAAAGCCCCTTCCGTGGATCCTTTCTCATTCAGCTTGCAGGTTGTTTGGCCTCACTAATGATTCTGCTGGTCATATTAGCCACCGGATTCCTCTTCGAATCGTTACCCCAGGTGCGTAGCTTGAACTTGGTGTGAGGTGTTACCATGTGTAGAGATTTTGCTATTTATTTGTTTATATTTTTGTGGCCATCTCGTGCCTTTTTACTATAACTCTAGCAGAGTGGTATAAGAATGAGCAAGGCTGGGATCAAGATCCCGCTCTATAGTCCTGCCCCTGGGAAAGCCATCTCAACATCTTTGGGCCTCCGTTTCCTTATCTGCAAGTGAGAGTTTGGACTGATTAATCTCCAAGGTCCCTTCTCTCTTTGATCTTCTGTGACCTTGCACTTCCATTAAAACTCTGAGATGGCCTCCACTCCTAAAATGTTTGTTTGCTGATCTGTTTAATCTAGTAGAGATGAGGGACAATATAGAGTGGAGAAAATCACAATGTAGGAAGACCATGGGTCAAATCATTCCTGGAGTACCAAGTTAAACTCTGAACCTCTTGACCGCCATGCAGGTTTGCTACTAGGATATAAGCCTGTCCAATGGGTTTTCCAAGACCCATTTTAGCTAACCAAGTCCTGAAAATCCAGGTGTCCATGGCTCCAAACGTACCATCGCTGCTACATGGGAAGTGAGTGGGGAGAAGACATGGGGAGGGCAGCAGGAGGACAGTGAGGAGCCAGCAAAGGAGACTCTGTGGACACAAAAGGAGAGGCATGCGGGATGTGCTCTGTTTCAGGCTGTGCTGTCGGCCATTGTGATTGTCAACCTGAAAGGAATGTTTATGCAATTCTCTGATCTCCCCTTTTTCTGGAGAACAAGCAAAATAGAACTGGTAAGTAACAAAGATGAGTGTTAGGTTAATATGTCATTGCAACACATGGATGTGCTGCTAAAAATGTAAGAAAGAGGGGGGCCTGGGTGGCTCAGTCAGTTAGGCATCTGCCTTTGGCTCAGGTAATGATCCTGGGGTCTTAGGATGGAGCCCCACGTCAGGCTCCCTGTGAGGAGGAGTCTGCTTCTCCCTCTGGCCCTCCCCCTGCTTGTGTGCTCTCACGTCTCTCTTCCTCACTCTCTCTCTCATGAATAAATAAAATCTTTTTAAAATGTGAGAAAAATAAGCTAATGCAGTCATTTGTTATGTGTAGCATCTAGTTAGGCAACTTTAGGTACTGTGTGTGTGTGTGTGTGTGTGTTTGCATGACAGACTCTTAGAAAATTTTTAGCGTGATCTCACATAAAGTTTTCTGTCTTTTGTGCAGACCATCTGGCTTACCACTTTTGTTTCCTCCTTGTTCCTGGGGCTGGACTATGGTCTGATTACAGCTGTGATCATTGCTCTGCTAACTGTGATTTACAGAACACAGAGGTAAGTGTACAGATTGAGATGGACGTGATTGTCCTGCCTGAAATTGCAGTATTGACTTTAATTCTATTATAATTATCAACAGACCCCACTAGAGTGTGAGCATCTTGATTGTGGAGGCGATATTCCCAGAGTCCAGTCCCGGGCATATAGTGTATATTTTCTGAAAGCTTACTGAGAGACTCCACCCAGAAAAAACAGCTCACATTCATATTATATATTGTAATACACAAAGCACTTGTGCATACCTGCTAAGAAGCACCAGGGCATTGTAGCAAGTCCATGGAATGTCAAATCAAGACCTTGAGCCATGCTTTATCTTTGCCAGTCCCTCTGACAATGACCAACACCAAATAAGACCAAATAAGTCTAGTATGCAGGATATGATAAGGTAATATGAGGTGCTCAAGCAGTAGTATCTGTCATCATTACAGTATCCAGTTTGAGCCAGATTGTCCTATAAAAAGAGGAGGGCTCTCCAGAAACAATGTTTAAAATCTATTCAAGCCAAACTTAAAAAAACTTCCATGCTACTTTGAGGGTTGTTTTTTGTTTTCTTCCCATACCCTCAGTTGACAAGCACTCCCATGAGTCAGAGCCTTTTATTAGAAACAAAAAGAAAAACTCCTCTCCTGCTTTAGACTGAGAGTAGAAAGACAATTCTATTGAGTGGATGAGAACTTGAGTTACACATTCCCTGGCATGACTTGAACTCTGCACAGTTCACTTTAATGACTTTAGCCTCCGTCTTTAAATGCCCGATTGTGTGATGTGTGAGGGATGTGTGTGTGAGTGTGTGTGTAGGGTGAGTGTGTCCTGTACCTTGGGGGCAGGGTGTGGGGGCATGCTGGGAATGGCCCTGAGAATGTGATCCATGTGAAGCCCTTTGCAAAGGTAACCATATAAGGATCATGTATTCCTGAGTTCATTAGCAAGTCCATACATGACATGTGAACATGGGAAGCCTCATGTTTAAATCACATACTGGGCCTCAACACAATAGTATTGTAACACACTGTCCCTGTATCTTTAGTCCCAGCTACAAAGTCCTTGGACAGCTTCCCGACACGGATGTGTACATTGATATAGATGCCTATGAGGAGGTAGGACCTTTTTCCTGTCATTTTAGATGGTTGTAAGCATGTCATGTGATGGGCAGACTAAATATTATTTTTACACAGGACAAAAAGTGGGGCTGAAAAGTAGGGAGGTATAGTGGTCAGAATGAAAAGCATGAACTGGGATTTATTATCTGGATTCAGTTTTAGAGTTTGTACTATAATTACTCAACCTCCTAATATTTATTTTTCCCTTTTCTGTAATGATAAGTATATATTCTTGGAATTAAAGTATATATTTACAAAATACTGAGAGGATGCTTTGTATGTTAAAATTATGCCTTAAAATTCCCTTGATTTTTAGTATCCTGACAGAGTGTCTCAAAGACTTTTACAGAACCTCTTAAAATTAGTTCTCTTTGATTTGTTTTATGTTTGGGAAGACATTCTCAGACCCACTATAAGATACTGGGAGAAGAGACTGCTTTGAGGATTGCTCATTTTCCCTCCTTCTAAAGAATTATGTGCTGGATTTCTCATTTCTAAACTGCATTCTAGAGGCTTCTGGGTTCTCTGTTGCTCTTGGGTCTGTTTCAGCCCCTGTCTGCATTCCCGGAGTCACCAACATAACCTCTCCTTCTGCTTATTCCTCAGGGTCTCAGTGCCAGCCTCCCTTCTCTTATCTGTTTCCTTTTCTCTGTTTTTAATAGTTTTTGGTTCCTTCTTTGTGTTTTATGGTGAATATGAAACAAAGACTTAGGAGAAATGTGAAGATGTGTGTATTAAAGGCTCTCTTCTCAGAACTCCTTTGTCCAGGACACGAGTAAGTAGGACACAGTGACCATTTTATCTAAACCCTATAAGAGAGGGCCTTGAGCGACTTCTGTGTAGATTTTCAGGTTGGAGGAGGGAAGCAGGTGCAGTTTTGACTCTGAAATATTTCCCTGTGTTAAATTCACTAACATTTTATTTCAGGTGAAAGAAATTCCTGGAATAAAAATATTCCAAATAAATGCTCCAATTTATTATGCAAATAGCGACTTGTATAGCAATGCTTTGAAAAGAAAGGTGAGTCACAAGAAATTGATTTTTTTTAAAGATTTTTTATTTATTTGCTTGAGAGAGTGTGAAAGAGAGGAAAGGCACAGAGAGAAAGAGGGTGAGGGAGAGGCTGAGAGGGAGCCCAATAGGGGCTCGCTTGATCCTGGGACCCTGAGATCATGACCTGAGCTGAAGACAGACGCTTACCCTACTGAGCCACCCAGGTGCCCCAAGAAATTGATTATTTTTGAGTGGACCTGTGGATTGACAGGAATGTAAGGGACCTTTAAATGTCTTGATATACCTTTTATACTGTTCCATTCTCTCCCTTCCTCCCTCTCTCTCACTCGCTCTCAGTAAAATATACATAAACTTTACCATCTTCAGTAAATTTATCATTCAGCAGATGGAATTTATATTCACACTGTTATGCAGCCAACACCACTAGTCATTCTCTTCTCTTGTGCACATATTACCTTTTCAAAAAATTTTTAAGAAAAAAAGTGAGGGATGCCTAGGTGGTTCAGTAGTTGAGCATCTGTCTGCCTTTGGCCCAGGGCATGATCCCAGGGTCCTGGGATCGAGTTCTGCATCAGGCTCCCCTGCAGGGAGCCTGCTTCTCCCTCTGCCTGTGTCTCTGCCTCTCCTCTGTGTGTCTCTCCTGAATAAATAAATAAAATCTTAAAAAAAAGTGAAAAAATAAATTTAGGTTTTTCACTCTTTAGATCATGTGGGTTCCTTTGGTGGTATTTAGAACTTGACCCCACATTGCCCAGTATATAAGAAAATCTCTCAGTCAACCCCAGAGTCTCTTAAATATGAGAATCTGAGAGTGAATTTGAAAAACACTACTTTAAAAATTCCCCTTGATACTTTAGTGTACTCACTGCCGCATCCTGCTAAATGCACATAAGAATAAGGAGAGTTACTCATGTTCCTTTATTAAGGGAATAACTCAGTTCAGGTTGCCTGAGGGAATGGTAGAGCAAGAGGTGGAGTGATAACTTGGCATAGAAAATAGATGGGGGGGGGGACTTGAAGATGTATTGCATTTGCGTGGGTTCCTGGGTGCCAACAAATGATTTTGCATGTATCGCTCTTCTGCAAAGACTGGAGTGAACCCAGCAGTCATAATGGGAGCAAGAAGAAAGGCTATGAAGAAGTATGCCAAGGAAGTTGGAAATGCAAATGTGGCCAATGCAGCTGTTGTCAAAGTGGTGAGTGGTCTCTTCCCTGTAACTTTCCCTTCTCTCTTAATCTGCACCACGCCCCACCTTCATTCATGATTGAGGTCTTAACACAGCAGGAAGCCCCTAAGATAGGAAAGCTTCAAAACCATTTCAGTATCCTTTATCTATTAAAGACACATGATAAGGCCAATTATGAAAAAAGTAGGGATATGAACCCGGAAAATATTGTTTAAAAAAAAATCACACAGTAGTATCTTAATAAATTTTACCATAGCTACTTTGTCATAGATTCATTCACCTGATAGTAACAAAAACAAAAAAACCTCAAAGGCTAGATTTTGTTGTTCAAGCTTATGGTAACTTGTGGTTGTGCTGAAGTTAATGGAACCATTTTAGAGATGAGGAGAGATTGGATATGATGACTAAGGAGAGTGGATTTCATTGGACAACAACAAAAGGAGAAGAGAAGAAAAGAAACTGAGCTAAAACTGCATATTATGTACACATCCTTTTTCCGTCACATTGTAAGTATGGGATACAACAAATATCTTAGAAGAGGTCTGGTGGAGTCAGGAGCCTGACAGTATGGCAACTAGTTTTCCCTTATGAATCTTTCTCTGAACCAACATGCGAGGTGTTCATAGACTTCTGGTTTGGTTTATGTGTTGACAGGATGCAGAAGTGGATGGAGAAGATGCCACGAAACCCGAACAAGAGGATGATGAAGTAAAATATCCCCCAATAGTCATCAAGAGCACTTTCCCTGAAGAACTGCAAAGATTTATGCCCCCTGGGGATACCATCCACACCGTCATTCTGGATTTTACCCAAGTCAATTTTATCGATTCCGTTGGTGTCAAAACCCTGGCTGGGGTAAGCATCCTCTTAAATGAGTCGTTTCATATCTCTGTGCCATCAGTAAGATCAGAGAGTTGATCTAGGGTCCTTTTTCAACTCTTAAAATTCTTTGTTGTTGTTTTCAACTCTTGGTTGTGGAAAATTTCCAAACTGTATGAGAATAAAGAGCACAGTGTCATGAAGCCCCGCAGGACTCCCACTCTGCTGCTACAGCTCATCAGTTTGTGGGCAGTCTTGTTTGGTTCACCCCCCCCCAACCCACTTTGCACTTCTCTGACTCTAAAGCACATCCCAGTCACCGCCTTTTCGTGACTATTTCAGGATATAGCTCTACAAGGAGAAGATTCTTTTACCAATCAGTACCATTATACCTTTATTACACCTACATAAAATTTAACAAGAATTCTTTGCTAGCCCTCATTATCACTGTCCATATAAAAATTAAATACAAAAATAGTTTTAAATGGTTAGCTCAAAAATGCATAAGTAGCTCAGGTGAATGAACTAGTGTCTTGTATCACTGACTACATACTGGTAGAAAGAGACTTGCATCTGGCACGGAGTCGAGAGAAACTAAACTTTATTTCAACATTATTACAGATTGTAAAAGAATATGGAGATGTCGGTATTTATGTGTATTTAGCAGGATGCAGCGGTGAGTACACTTCCAGAATGGGGAGAAGTTTTAACACTTTAGTTTCATTTCTCTTTTTTTTAAATAACTTTTTAAAAGTTTGGAAATACTTTTCCCTTAATTTCAGTTTTTGGCCAAAATGAAAATTATTCAGAGGTGGGGAAGGAAAAAGATGAGAAATGTTCTTCTGAAAATCACTCTAAAGCTAGCTTTGAAATTAGTCACTCATGGGCAACCCCCCGCGCCAGGCGATTATGGCAGGTCTTCCTGCCCTGTACTGGATAGAAGGAGCTTATAAACCGTTGTTCTGGGCTGGTCCATTTTTTAGTAATTAAGGGCTGCTTTAAACATAGTTCTGTAAAATTATTTAGGTTTTTCCATACAACACCTGCTATTTTTGCTTTATAATAAACTTTGGGTTGAAACAGTGCCTGAAAATGAAACCTACCTAAAGGCATCCTTTTCACCTGCCAGAATGGCTGAAAAGAAAAGTGTCTGACAACACGCTCTGTAGGCACACCGCGGGGCAACAGGTACTCCCAGACACTGCTGGCAGGAATGCAAAATGGAACAGCCTTCAACTAGGGTACATCTACATAATAGAATATCATGCAGTGTTTAAAAAAAAAATTAAGTGAAAAAAATCCAGAAAATATATATATAATATATAATTTCTATTATACGTATACTATGTATTATCATGTCTTATGTATGTATAATATTTTATATAATGTCAAAGAAATACTTTTGGGTAAGAAAAAAGGAAAAATAATATAGATTTGTATTATTTGTATAAATACAAAAAGAATAATAGTTTCTAAAATTAAAAAAATGTGATATGTATACAGATATGTGTATACACACACAATGGAATATTACTCAGCCATCAAAAGAATGAAATCTTGCCATTTGCAATGATGTGGATGACACTAGAGGGTATTATGCTCAGTGAAATAAGTCAGAGAAAGACAAATACCATAGGATTTCAGTCGTGGACTTGAAGAACAATATAGATGAACATAGGGGAAAGGAAGGGAAAAATAAAATAAGATAAAACGGAGAGGGAGGCGGACCATAAGACATCCTGAACTATAGACAACAAACTGTTGCTGGAGGGGAGGGGAGTAGGGGGATAGGGTAAGTGGGTGATGAACATTACGGAGGGCACTTGTTGGGATGAGCATGGGTGTTATATGTAAATGATGAATCACTAAATTCTACTCTAGAAACCAATTTTGCCATAAATTTTAACCATAAATTTAAACAAAAACTTGAATAAAAAATTGAAATTAAAAAAAAGAAAGTTTCCTGCTACTGGTGTGTGATATCATGGGGATAGGATTGGAGTGACACTTTTTTAGTATATCACTGTGGTATTGAAACTATATGAGTGTGAATTTTTTTAATGTTCAAGACTGGTACCCAGAATGTGGACTGATTTTCCTTCCTTCTTTTATAGCACAAGTTGTAAACGACCTCACTCAAAATCGATTTTTTGAAAACCCTGCGATAAAGGAGCTGCTGTTCCACAGCATCCACGATGCAGTCTTAGGCAGCCAACTTCGGGAAGCGCTGGCTGAACAAGAAGCCTCGGCTCTTCCTCCCCAGGAGGACTCCGAGCCCAACGCCACTCCCACCACTCCCGAAGCGTAGATGAGGAACTCAGCTGGGATGGGCTACGGGCCTCTCATGAAATTGCTCATTGTTACATATTTTAAGTACTAGACATTAGATTGGTTTTCTAAGGGTAACATTAGATTTCTTTCCTAGCAGTCAAGGCTTGATTTGGAGGGTGAATGATGCGTAGCAAGATGTATCTTACTTGTGTTTTTATTTTTAATGGACTATTTCCAAGATAAATTGTCCTCTCAGCTGCATCTATTGTGCAGTGACATTTCTGTTACTCTTTAGTATTAACTTCATAAACTGAGCATTTAAGAAGTTATTTCCTTTAAGTAACTTCACCTACAGATCAGATATGCTGTCCTCAGATGGTTAGTGGCTCCTTGCTCTTGAAATTGTTGATTTACAGGATTTTTGTAATCAGAGTTATCTAACAGAAGGAGCGAACCCACAATTTTTTAGAAGTTCTTTTAAAATTACCTTTTATTATCAAAGAACAATCAAAAGATTAGAAAAAAATAGAAGAAAAACATTATATTGCTACCACCCAAAGATTATCAGTAACACTTGAACGCGTCTCTTTCCACATCTTTTTCCGTGCATATATATTTTTATCTTTTAACCAAAGTAAGGTCATATTCAACATAGTGTTGATTCACCTCAGACTATATTCAAATTTCCCGTCATCCTCAAATTTGTAGTTGGTCTGTCCAAACTAGTATTCATTCTGTGACCTAACACTACAGCTGGTCATGTCTTTTCAAGTCCCTTAAGTCTATCTTAATCCAGCATCATCCCTTTTATGACCGTGAGTTAGATTGGGGCAGTTGTCCTTAGAATCCCATCTGGTTTTTTCAAAGTGTTATTTCTCTTGTCCCTTTATTTCCTGAACTACCTGTAATCTAAAAGTTCTATCTAAAAGTTTCATGGATTTAAATAAAACCTTTTTTTGCTAGAATATATCATAGATGAGACATATGCTTCAAATCTCATCACATCAGAAAACACATAACATCTAGTTGACCTACAATTAACAATGCGGAAGTAGATCCCTGGATTGACAGGACAGCCTGATACCCCATTTAGGTTTTCCCTTTGTGACTAGTGAGTTACTTTATGGTATTCCTTTGGCATTGAACGAATACCCGGTTTCCCATTAGCCATTCACCCAGGGGTTTTAACATCTGGTGATAATCCTTGCCCAAATCAATAATTTTATTGTTTGTGATTTTTTTTCTAATTCTAATAATTGAAGAAATGATTTTCAGCATTTATCAGTTGGTGTTTCTTTGTAAACTACAACTATTCCTCCTCCACTTCAGCTGTCTGGTCATCCTTAAATACATCTCTTACTGGAAAAGGCAGGTTAGATGTTTTTTCCGTTTAATTATCAACTTCAAAGTAAGGAGTTAGTTTAACATGACAAATTAGGTTCTTTTACATCTCTCTTTTTTTTGGCATATTATAGGCTCATGAATTTTTATAGTTTGAGTGTTCTTCAGTCCATTATAATTGTTCTTTTTTGCTGTTCAAATTGTCACAACTGTGACCACAAGTTTTGTTGTTGCTGATAGTAAGGTAACCTTAAAGGCCGTGTATTAAGAAAGCTGACTCTTACGTATAATTTAATATCTTGGAAGTCCGTAAGAGTTATCAGTTAATTCTTCATCAAACCCAGAGTTAAGCCTATGATTAAGTTAAATGCCTATTTGAGGCACTCTTTATAGTTGTCCAAAAGGAGTTGGGGAGAACTTCAAGCCAATTTGTCATCAAAAGGTCTTCTTGTAGTTCCAACTACCTCCTTCTTCCAGATCAAAGGACAAGTTTTAGCCAACCTGCCTAAAGCCTCCTCTGCTGAGATTTCCTGCTAATAGTTTGTGGTTCTTTTTTAATATTTTATTTATTTATTTATTTGAGAGAGAAAGTGAGAGCAGGAGGGGAAGAAGCAGAGGGAGAGGGAGAAGCAGGCGCTCCCCTGCTGAGTAGGGAACCTGATCCCAGGACCCCAGGATCATGACCTGAGCCAAAGGCAGACACTTAACCGAGCCACCCAGATGCCCCTAACAGTTATTAAAATGTTTTCTTATTGATTCTTGTTTTAGTTTTCCTGAAGAAAACACTGCCAGGGGAAAAGTGGTGTGGTCAGATCCCAAGAAAGAACGGTTAGCATGGGTCTACTCCAACCAAACCCTGTGGTTGGTTTGCTTTAACTATGGGGTTGCTCAGTGACTTTACTAATTTAACTTAAAGTAGACCCCCTCCTTTCTAATCAGTACTTCATGTAGATCTTGAGTGAAACTAGGTTCCCAACCAGTTACTCCCTTGCAATCACCACACGCAAGAGCAGATACATCTGCATTCTGATACAGACTGCCTTCTGAAAGAGCACTTATTTGTAGAACCTCTGCTTTAGCGGAAGCTTTTGTCAAAGGACCAGCACCATTTCAGCCATTAAAGCAGAACTTCGGATTTTAAACAAGTCTACAATACTTCACCCCATATACTTTAACACCTGTTTTCAGCAAATGCTTCACACACAGTAGATATTCACGTCCTAGTAGTTGGTAGATTGAACGTAGTGTACAAAAACCGTATTTACCAGTATCTAACAGATTTGTATTTAACTTTTGTTCTTTAATGTTCAACCTGTTGTGAGTGGAATTTTACCATGTACATAAAAAGCACCTTAGTTTTACTGAAGGGAAATCTGTTTTATTTTCAACATGCCTCTAAGAATTTAAGAGTGCATTTCAAAATGTTTTATCTGTATGTAAATATGTTGGAATGCTTTACGTAAAATTATTTAATATAGGGGAAATTTTCCTGACCTTTTTTTTAAGTATGCCTTTATGTTCTTCTTTCTGGACCTTACTAGCTAGCTGCTAGCGTATGCTTCCTGTTTCTCAGCCCTGGTTCAAACTCAGTCTTACTGCACTGCCAAAATGGGCATAATCCACAATGATAGATATTGGGACTTGGCAAGTCTTCTATGGCAATAGGGGAAAGCCCTGTGTTCAGGGAGGGTCCCACATAGAGAAGTCCTTTGTTTTTCTCAAATACTACACAATATGATAGTGGTTGATTTCTGCCTCATGGATAGACGGAATACGTTTGAAAATAATTGCGAACCAGGACCGAGGAAACAATTCTTGTCACAGACATTGACTTTGTATAATTATAGGACAGCTTAGAGTAGGATTGAAATGGTCAGTCTCATCTGCAGTGGGACTCAGAGAAAAAAGAAAGATATGAATCCTCTGCAAGCCCTGTGAGTAGCTCATTTTATAGTTTTCAGGTGACATCTAAAATATCAATTCCATGTGGTTTGATCCTGTATTCTTACCTGTTCAACAGATAAAGGAGGTGCCTGCCTCCAAAGGTACATTTTGAGGAAATGAGTTTGCCCTCATGTGTGGATAAAGGCAAAGGTAACAAACCCAAAGAATCTGCCATGGAATGGGTAGGTGTGTTTTTCTGTTTTGGGGCGGGGGGGGGGGGGTCGTGTATGCCCTTGAGTGAGGTCAGGGAGAGGGAATATAGGGCACGTGGAAGGGAAGGTTTTATCTATTATATCTGCCCCTTTAAAGATAGTAAATCAAATTTTAAATTCAAAAATGTCCTTGGTGTGAGCCTGTGTGGTTTGAGTGCAAAAATGCTGTTGGTTCTTTTTAGTGTAGCTTTCAGGAATGCTTTTAGGATTCAGTATGTTTAGATTCTTGATATTGTGGTTTGAGTGCTGATAAAAGTTGTTTGAAAACTGATCAAAGTACTACCTTAATTCTCCATATAGCCAACCAAAGTGCATGCAATGGCTTTGAAACCCCTCAGATCCCAACAATAGAATGTTCAAAAGCTCAGCATTGTAGCAGGTAACCTCCCGACTGACTTGAATTTAATCAAGTTTGAGCATCTCAAAAACCTATCTTGCCTTTGAAAAAAAAGCATTACGAGCCTTTTCATTTCACCTTATGTAACATAAACCTGAGCTTTGTGGAAATTAAAGTTTTATAAATCCAATCACATTTTTAAAATGCTTATTAGAAAGTAATTTGTAGTCATCAGTATTTTTCTAGTCAACTCTTTGTATTTTATCAGCTCCCTGATGAATGTAAAACATGTGTCCATACACCTCCGTATACACATGTATATATGTACACACATATAGATTAGGTGGAGGGGGTTACTGGTGAAATGTGTGTTCATTTTATCTTGTAAACTGGAGTACAAAGATGCTAATCTAGATAGGGTTAATGGTATTGGGCAGAAACACCCAAATTTTTCAAATAATTGTCAGTTTAATGTGTGGCCAGTTAGATTTTCATCATGTAACAGATGAAGATTTTTCAGAGCCTGTAACATGTTAGGCCTGAGTGAGCTCAACATAGCCAGTTTGAGTTATCCCACATTGGTGCATCTGATACCTGAAAAATTGGTAAGACTTCTGAGTGTGATGTAAATGCTTATGTTTATTAAAACATTACAAAAACATACATCAGTCATTTACTGGAGTATATTTTATTATAAGCCTTCTATAACACCTAGAAGTGGCTTGCTCTGTTTCGTACCTCATGGAACACCAGGGCAGGCTTAGAAAAAATTTTCTGATCCATTTCACAAAAAAGAAAAAAGAGAAAAGAATGCTGATTGGATTTTATGAATGAAAAGCTTTTGTTTTTCTCTTTGAAAACGTTCATGTTTTAAATATTTCAATACAACATTTAAAGCATTTTCTGTTGTCAACTTTTTCCTGTAAATTAAAATGTATCCAGCTCTTGCTACTTATTTATGAATACTGAACTGCAATAAAAACATTCCTTATTGTGCTTGGGTCTCAGTATTTGGGCAGGGAGGCTAACTGTGATGAAAGATGGGAGGGGATTTGGTGATGGCTGCACAAGAAATAATTTTAGATCTGCTGAGGATCCAATACAACTTTAGTTTTACAAATACTTTGCTTCACCAGAAGTCTAACAGCTTTACCAAAATTTTAAACCATTAATTTATAAAATGAAAATAAGTACTTTCCTATATGAAACCAATTCTGTATTTTCTAAATTAGATTATGTGTATATATTTTTCTTTATGCTTTACTACTTTGCTGGTCATTAAAGTCACTAATTCTTCTTGATTAATTTGAAATCAACTCAAATGACATAGTAAAACCTAATATATCAGATGCTTCTTCCACTTTAAATGTGGTAAGAAAAAAATTTTAAAAAGCATCGACACACGTGGTCCTGTGCCTAGATGGGCTGTTTTGATGGGGGGGGAGGGGCGGAAGAACATGAAGGTGAGGAACACAGGAGTGGAGCTGACAGACTGGGACTTGAATCCCAGCTCTGCTACAAGTGTGAGAAGTAGGAAAGTTTTTGTGTGCCTTCTACCAAGATGCATTAGGTCCACCTCACCAGGCAGATGGGAAGATACAATCGGCACTCAGCCAGCAGATGCCTAGAATGTACGTGGTCTGAACAAGCACTTCATGATATGGGACTCTTAAATGGTAGTGGATCAAAACACCGCATACATCGTAATAAGCTTTTCTCCCTAGCGACACCAGATAACACCTTCTATTGTACTACAAAGAAAAGACATCTGAAGAAAGCATCCAGTTTTGAAACACTTTATTTTTGTGTGTGTAATGGTTATTAACAAGTCTATTTAATTAAGTTAGGATTCTAATGAAAAGTGTTTTCATGAAAGCCTTCAGGGCTCAGTTGTATGTCATATAGCGGGGAGTAGCACTGAATTTGGCATAAGACTTAATGACCTTATTTACAGCCTCCAAGAAATCCTTCTCGGTAGCAATTTTTCGCCGTGCTCTGATGGCAAACATACCAGCTTCTGTGCAGACACTTCTAATCTCAGCACCTTTCAAACAAAAAGAAAACAACAGGCTTATTAAAGCAGCCTGAATAGACATACCAGCAAATATAACAAGCAAGACCTTTTCACCTACCAGTGCTATTTGGACACAGCCGTGCTAACAATTCAAATCTGATATCTCTTTCAACACTCATTGAACGAGCATGAATCTTAAAAATGTGAGTCCGACCCTAAAAGTGGAATTGATAAATATTAAAGTGGAAAAATATCATTGGAAGAAAAAATGTCAAGAGAAGGGATTCTTGAATTCTCTAAAATGAAATGCTTTTCTTACCTCTAGATCAGGTAAGCTAAATTCAATCTTCCTGTCCAATCTCCCTGGCCTCATCAGTGCAGGATCTAAAGTATCAGGTCTGTTAGTGGCCATCAGCACTTTAATGTTACCTCGAGGATCAAAACCATCCAGCTGATTGATCAGTTCCAGCATCGTCCTCTGTACTTCATTGTCTCCTCCAGCACCATCATCAAAACGAGCCCCTGAGAAGACGGAAAGAAGCTCTTCATGTCCACTCAGGAGGAGCGCTATGTGGGACTCCAAAGTACTGTACACCTCAGCTCACATCAGGAACAGCTCACTCTGAAGCACATCCTGTAAGAACAGCCTACTATACACAAAACTAATTAGAAAGTCCATCTTCCAAAAGGACTCATCATAGATTTATTTAACAGAGGCTCCTTTAAAGTTTTTTTTTTTAAACCTCTTTTAGGAATTTTTTTAAATCACTCAAGAACACTTCTACTTTCAGCATGATATATACACCTGGACAAGGCAACAGAATAAATACATTAGCATTAATGTCAATCTCTCATTTCAACCAAAACAGCAAAAAACAAAAGGCCTCCAAATATATATTTCATTTTTAGGTTGCATAACTACATATGATTGTAATTAATGTATTGCATACATTATAAAACAAAAACAATTTTTAAATGAGATTAAAAATATAAAGAAAAATTCTAGGTTTCCCTCCTGTACCCTAATACTACTTTTTTTTTTTTAAAAGATTTTATTTATTCGTGAGAGACACACACAGAGAGAGAGAGAGAGAGGCAGAGACACAGGCAGAGGGAGAAGCAGGCTCCATGCAGGGAGCCTGATGTGGGACTCGATCCCCGGTCTCCAGGATCACTCCCTGGGCTGAAGGTGGCGCTAAACCGCTGAGCCACCCGGGTTGCCCCTAATACTACTTTATACACAATTTACTTTGGAAACCACAGCTTCAGAGCATCCTGACATCAGAAGGCTTATTCCAAAAATACTATATAAATAACTTCAGAGTCACAACATACAACTGATACACTGTGGTCACGTTATGCCCCTCTGAGACATTAATCACAGATTTCCAAACCCAACAATACCCATTCATTGTAAAGACAAGACCCTAGGTAACCTAACTGCAGTCCTCAAAGAGCCTTACAGGGTACACCATGTTTTCAAGTCATTTTTGTTCGTTAAATAACTGAACATATGATAGCTCTCGAGTTATTAAGAATTATTACTCTCAGGACCTGGGTAGCTCAGTCACAGTTAAGTGTCCAACTCTTGATTTTGGCTTAAATCACGAGGGTCATGAGATTGAGCCCTGCATTACACTCAGTGCTGGGCATGGAGCCTGCTTGAGATTCTCTTCCTTCTCCCTCTGCCCCTCCCCTCCTAAAAAAAAAAAAAAAAAGATCACTCTCAAACTATTACTAGGCCTTTACAGAACAGAACACTTTAATTTTCAAAGTCTCTCAATTTTTTTTTTTTTAAGTAAGCTCCATACCCAGCATGGAACCCAATGCAAGGCTTGAACTCATAACCCTGAGATCAAGACCTGAGCTGAGATCAAGAGTTGGATGCTTAACCAACTGAGCCACCCAGGTGCCCCTATTACTTTAAACCCCTCAAAAACCCATGAAATAAACAAGGCAGGGACTGTTCTCTTTATAAGACAAGTGAACAGTGGCTCATAGTTAGTTAGAATAACCTGTCTAGATCTCACTGCTAATACTGTATTTCATCAAATCTATGAAGCCAACAATGACATTTATGTATACTTTATGAAAATCCATCAACTAAGTTATGCCCGCCCCAGTGCTTTCTTATGACATAGTAAATGAAGCTATATTCCAAGTTAGGAGTTGTTAAAATGTGAGCTATATCCCAAGTTAGGAGTTGTTAAAAATGTTGTCATGTGAATGAAATTAGGAAAGTATAAAGACTTTGAGAAATAGCAATGCTCTATATTTTTTTCCTTTACAGTGTATCTCGTTTATTAGATCTGTAGCTCAGACATGCCAAAGCCCATAGAAGAGTTGGAATTAAAATTTTATACAAGATTATCAAGAGAACTCTACATGTGTTACTTTAGAATGCTCACAAAAACCAATCCTAAAGCAGTTCTCTAAAATACCACTCATACCTCCAATAGCATCGATTTCATCAAAGAAGATAAGACAGGCTTTTTTGGTCCTGGCCATTTCAAAGAGCTCACGAACCATTCGAGCCCCCTAATGAGAAAAATAATTCAGAGTTGGTTTAAAACATTTTTTAAATATGGTAAGAAGCTATGCTTCAAACTTTTCAATGTTCCTAACAATATTCTCAATTATT